AGTCAGACGCCTAACCGACTGAGCCACCCAGGCGCCCCTATTTTCTTCCTTCTTAGCATAACTATAGGGACATGCCTTTGGAGGTTATTCAAGGTCATGAGCTTGGATATGCCTCTTTCAGCTATTTTAGACAATGGCATGGAACCCGGTATTGCTTCCTTCAAACAGAAGGCTAGTGGCGGGACACAAGTCCATCGCCCAATAAAAGCTGTTCCTGGAGCAAATTCAGTCACTGACCATGGGGCACGTGGTGGGAACACCATGTCAACTGATACTGCCCACATGACAGGCCTCAATTTGACCATCACATCTGGGATATAACATTTTCCCTTTAGGATACAGTTTGATTTCCTTCTTTATGACCAGGTGATTTGTCGATGGCTTTTTATGATTCTGTGTGATGACCAGCCGTCTAATTGCAAAAAAAATATGTTTAAATGGATACCATGACACAGGGTTTACACCATGAGCCTAGGGGAGTTTCCGCTAGATTTTTCTTTGCTACAAAAGGAGGACACTGAGGGCCTCCTCCCCAGTTTTGAGGGTATAACTGCCAAAAGCAGGATAGGCTACATAATTTGTAGGGACCAGTACAAAACGAAAATGCGGGGACCCTTACTTAAGAATGATTAAGAATTTCAAGATGGTGACCTCACAGCAGGAAGCCAAGCGCAGAGCCCTTCTAAGTGGGCCCCCCCACCCCAGGCCGTGCAGGCTGCATGCCCGTGAAGCCAGCCCTGGGCAGAGGCTTGTGTGCACATACTATTTCTGCTTCCAAACCATCCTGCATTTGTGGTCAAAGTGGTTGTTCTGACTCTCCTGGTGCCTTTGGTCTTCATGAAAGAATGACTAAGGAAATGGACTCTGGAATGTCTGCCTGGGTTTGCATCTCTGCTTTGCCACTTTGACCAGCTTGGTGACCTTGGGCCCATTATTTAACATTTCTGTGCGTCAGTTTCCTAGAAAACAAAGACAACAACGGTACATCCGTCCTAGGCTTCTTACGAGGATTGAATACATTAAGATTTATAAAGTGCTCAAGGAAATGCCTGTAAATACCATGCAAGTGTTGAAGTAAAAAAATTTAGAAGTGTTATTACTCTGCAGCAGGCCAGGATTTGTGATTTTGACTATCTTTGACCAAAATCCTGCTGTGACATTGTTTGTGTTGATCTGTTCCCTAAAGGCAGGATGACCAGCTGTCCCGCTTTGCCTGGGACTAAGGGGTTTCCTGGATCACAGGGCTTTCAGGGCTAAAGCAGGAAAGTCTCGGGCAAACCCGGATGGTTGGTTCCTTTTCAAAGTCTGGTTCGCCATGTTTACAAGAAGAGGTAGAATCATTAAAATAATTCTTTGTATTTACATTGATAAGAGAGAGAGAGAGAAGGGAGGAAGGAAGGGAGAGAGAGACAGACAGAGAGAAAGCGAGCTTAGAAAGAAAAAAAAACCCATATCTGCATTGTGGACTGTTTTGGGAGCCAAGGCCCATTAGGAAGGTATCTTCATTTACCAGATGAGGAAAGAAGTAGGGCGAGAAAGCAGTTTTGTCAAACTGTACTGAAGGTACCAGAAAGGAAAAGGATATTGCCCGTAGGGCATTAGTTTTCAGTATTGCTTTAGCCCTGGCCACTAGAGGCTCCTACCCTTGGGCTTGTGCTTTCCAGGGCCCCATTCTGTTCCTCATCCCACCATGCACCTCCCCAAAGGACAAGGAAGCTCAGAACCCATGCTTCCCTTTTTCTCGATCACCCTTGGGGTACCGAGACTCTGGAATCCCCCATCCACATAGTCCTGAGGCCTCTTCCAGGACCTGTGTAGACTCTTCCTGGGCCAGTCATGCTAAGAGTGAGCCATGCTATTGGTGTGCCTTACCCCTAACCAAGATCATTCGCTGATGGATAGTTGTTTGTGGGAGACACAGAGGGAGCCCGGATGTACTGAATGCTATGTCTACACGTAAGTACTAAGTACAGTGCAGGACAGAGCTGGGGGTGGGAGGAGAAAGGAGAGGGGTAGAGTTGGGAGCAGTGATATGCCAGAGGCTAGTTTCTCTAAAGAGTCTTGAGAATTCTAAACTTGAATATGGCCTCTCAGATTGTTATGAAGGTATACTTGTCAGAGGAGCGTAGAACCGATTTCATTTAAACGTGCATCAGCTTGATTTATAACTTCTAAATATACCTATGATGTGTGGAGTCTTGCTCGAGGCCTTGCAAATGTTAGGGACAGACCTGTTAGCATGAATGTCCTCCCATGGTAAGGGCCAAACTGCCATTCCTCAGAAGAAACTTACATCATGGTCTGGGCCTCCTGGAAGAATTCATCTTCTGACATGGAGCCCTCCTTGATCATCTTAATGGCAACATCATACTGTCCCTTCCATTTGCCCAGGTGGACCACTCCAAACTGACCACTTCCTAGTTCCTTCAGGAGGGCAATCTCTTCTCTTTTCAGTTCCCATATTCCTAGTAAGGCAAGACAGACACTCTTTAGGATGAAAGTAGGCGGCCTTGGGGCTGACAGCTTCCCAAGTGGTTTCTTCTCCAACGAGTTTCACATTGGCAACATAGAACAGGAAGATTTTTTAAGTTGATCACTTAAAAAAAAAAAACCCTTAGAGGTGTGGTCTTATGACCTATGAGACCACACGATAATGCCACCAGGACAATACTGTTCATGAAGCAGCTACAGTTATTGACAAAAAGGCTTAGAACACTTTGCCAACTGGAGGCATCTTGGAAACACCCAGTGTCAAAACGTGCTCGATGCTCTTAGCTTGGTAAAAAATATCATTACATTCTCTTATAAGGCAAACTAAACTGTGATGTGGGTGGATGTCCTTATCCTTAAATACACAAGGTTGAACACTGGCTCCCCTGAATGGGCCCAGAATCCCAGAAGAAGAAAGGACAGGCGATGGGGTTCTAGAGGCTGGTGATTGGGTCTAATAACAGGACAACTTTGACAGTCTTTTTGGTAAGGCTGAGGAGATTACAGAGTTAGTTTCAGAGTACAGAAAAGTTGTGGGGTTTTTGTTTTTGGTTTTTTCCTGGAAAATGGTCAAACATATTAGAACTGAAGCCCTCCCTGGCACAACCTGAACACAGACCTCCTTCTGGCCTTCCTTCTTTTCTTTTTTTGGAAATACATATATACTTTTTTAACCAGAAATGGTAGGAAATGGAGTTTAAGAGCTCAAGTGTGTGTCCATACCACTTCCCAAGGACACGGAGATGGGAACCTTGTTGGCCTTGGTCGACACAGGGTGGCGGAGTCGTGTGATCATGCCTGCAATGGAATCAGCACCGTATCATCACATCACATCACATCACATCACATCACACCAGTTCACACCAGTTCACACCTCTGCTTGTGCTCTCTCCAGAGTAGCTGGAAAAGCACAGAGTTCAGGATGTCATGATGGAGAGGGAGGATCCATTCTGACCGTATTCATCCTGCATTGGATTGATTTGCTTGACTCGACTAAGTAGCTCAATGTAAAAGCAAAAATTAAAAGAGTAAAACAACTTTAGGTAATTTTTAAAAATCCCATAGAGTTGGTTCCTTGATGGGATCTTCCATTTAAAAAAATTTCCCATTTTTACTCTGCTTTTTATAGTCCTATATTTAAATACCTGTACACGTGGCACGTGTATTTGGTTTACAAACTCCACAAACAGTACAGAAGGGCACAAAATAAAAAGCAAACCACTTGATTTTTAAAAATGGAACCTATCACTAAGTTGCATTAAATGGTCAAGTCACTTTAATTGCTTACATCAAGCAATGATAAAGCTGGGTTAAAATAATCACAGTATTTATAGTGTTTTGAAAGAACTCATTCAAAAAAAGGTTTCTTGCTTAAACATGTGATATTTTCCAAGTCCTGGGAGCTGTCACAGATGTCCTTTTCCTCTCCTTCCTTTTTCTACATATTTATTTACTTTTTATATGTGTGTGTGGTCTCCGAATGTTTTAAGTCCCAAACCTTTAATCGGCAAAAAGATGAGCACACTCCTGCAAAATATGTACATACAATGGCTGCTGTGTTGACACATGATGTGATTCACAAAATACACTCACGATAGAAAACTTAAGAGAATGAGATTCTTAGAAATATCTAAAGAAACATTTTAATGTTTTCTTTCTATACCCTGTGGAGTTTCTTGTGCATCTTCTGGAGTGAAATCGTTCTACTTGGAGATGTCTGTTCATACAATACCTTTTCCAAAGGGTACTTTCTAGGTGTTAGAGGTTAAACATACAGTCGAGGAAACTGGGACAAAGGAAAAATACAAGAGCCAAAATCAAAGCCAGGAGTAAGGCTAGGTCACCTACACGCATGTAATCTAGTCAGACTTGCACACATTTGACGCTGAGCCCACAGTTTATTTTTACTCACTGTTGGAGGTACATCCAGTCACTGCCCATAAGTGGCACTAGTCGAGAAAAGACAGTTAGAGGAGACTTCCTTTGTTTTTAGTTTCTTTTTCGCTAAGCTTATTGAGATGTTGTCGGCATACATAACTTTAAGGTATGCAACATGATGATCTGACATGTGTATATACTGTGAAACGATTACCCCTCAGGGTGAGTTAACACTGCCACTAGAAGGGATTTCTATACATATACTCGCTGGTCGATTAGCCAAAATCTAAAAAGTAATAGTACCCAGTGTTGGCGAGGATGAAGGAAATTACGGTTGGTGGAAGTGTACATCTCTGAAAAGCATTGGAAAGTGTCTAAATTTTGAATGTTCTTAACCATTATCTTAGACATCTCACTTCTAGGGAATTTGGCTACAGAAACACTAATACAGATACACAGAGCTATGTGTACAGGACTGTGCATTGAAACCACCAATTATAACGTGAAAATACTGTATGTATTAACATAGGTTTAGGTGAATAAATTATGGAGTGATTTCTACAATAGAATCCTATGAGTGGTTAAATAGAACAAAGTGAGCCATATGTATGTGGATGGAAAGACCACTAAGACATGTAAAGTAAAGAAAGCAAACTGATTGGGGTGCCTGGGTGGCTCAGTCAGTTAAGCATCTGACTT